ATGCACATGTATGTGTGTGTGTGTGTGGGGGTCGTTCATCGGGTTTCGGCCATCCAGTGGGGCTGAGAGGTTGCGGAGACATTAGGAAACCGTCTCTTGCAGGTCTCCAGGCCCCGGGGCCTGGGAAAAGGAGGTGAGCCATGTGAGATGAAAAAACCCACCCCTGTTCCCTCGCTTGGCATTATTATTTTTGTGGGTTTATGACTCTGGTGGAGCTGATCTTTAGATGGTAGCGCCTAAGACCTCTTCCTAAGTAAACATTGTCCTAACAGCCTCTGCTTACTGGCTGTGTGCGGTGGGCTATAGGGAGTGTGTGCTCACCAGAAAGACAGAGAGATAGAAAGCAAGAAATCACCACCCAGGGGGGATGGCCACACCGCAATCCCTTCTTCTCTATTCTCCTCTTGGGATCTTGGGCACGTACACACACATGCCTGGTGTGAGTTTAAGCCACCGTGTCCGGGACTTGAACCACGGTCGACTATATGGGAGTCCAGCAACATAGCCATTACGCTAACTGCTAGTCCCCTGTGTGTTTTTTAAGCCACCAGGAATTTAAGCCAAAGTCAGCCATGTGGAATTTGGCTCCCTTAACTACTAGATCATGAGGCCAGCCCTGAACATGATTTATTTTCTGTATTTTCACTTAAGAACAATTTGAATATTTTATGTAGGCAAAATATAAAATTAAATCTTTTTAAATTCTTTGTTTCTATCTTCTCCAAAGCACATAGTCCCAAACATTGGTTATCTTTTAAGATCAAAACTTGCTTTAAAATGGCCATTCTTTTTCAGGTATGTAACATAAATAAATTTAGCCAAGAACTTTTCCATTATCTAAATATTTTAACATTGGCCATTGTCTTTAGCAATAACAATTAAGATTATCTTGAGGGGGCCAGCAGGTGGTATAGTGGTTAAGGGCTCTGGACTCCTATAGGACTGACCACGGTTTGAGTACCGGACCTGGTGGCTTCTTTTTTCGCTTTCTCTCTCTTCCCGTCTCTGTCCCTCTCTGGTCACATTAAAAATAAGTAAATAAATAAGCAAATAAAGTTAAATAAAATAATTCTTTAGACAAAAAAGATTATCTTAAGCTTGAAGAAAATATCGGTAATGGAAATTATTTTATGAAAAACTCACTAAATGCAGCATGTATTTTATCTAATTAGGCAATGATCTGAAAAGAGTTTGCATTAATTTTGAAATGTCCTACAAATATTTTTCCTTGTTCTCTTTCTGTAGGATCATCAGTCATGCTAGTCTACTTTCAGATGATAAACAGCCAAGTTGAAGAAACTTCCTGTTTCTGGTACTTCAATAGTGTTCAAACCAATCAAGAAAATTCTTACTTTGGCTTTAAAAGAGAGCAGAATAGACTAAAATTTCCAAAGTAGTTTTGAATCACTCAAATTACCTTCAGCATTTTTATACTTACAATCAACTACTTATGATTGACCATTTGTTGTTTCCAAAGTAAAAAAGAGCTTCAAACAGAACTTCAATCTTTTTTTTTTTTTTTTTTTTTTTAGCTTTTTATGCTATAGGCATGTGCACACACTGAAGAGTCAGACAGAAAGCGAGAAATCACCCCCTGGGGAGATGGCACACCCCTGTCCCTTCTCCTCCATTCTCCTCTCGGGATTTTGGGCACGCATGCACACATGCTCAGTGTGAGTTTCAAGTCACCGGGTCCGTGACTCAAACCATGGATGACCATGTGGGAGGCCAGCGCCTCCACCACTACTCCAGCTGCTAGCCCCCAGAACTTTAATCTTTAAATAGATATTTTAACCATTCTGTGATTAGGTTTCAGCAAGAAACTCTTCCTTTTAGTTAGCTTACTTAAATGTGCTCAGAACATTTACGTTAGCCCATAGCTGGGCAAATCTAACACAAGGCCCAATCTCATGTAATTTATCAAACACTGTTATGAAAGTGAAACACAGAATGATTGCATGGGTATAAATTCAAAATTCAAAGCACAGTTTCTTCTGAATGTATATTGCTGTCATTAAATTGTAAAGTGGAATCATTGTAAGCTGAGGACCGTATATAACTTTTAAAATAGTTCTTATGAGTCCAGCCCTTGCCGGGTGTTTAAAGCAGCTGGATCCCACATGGCCGACTATGATTCCAATCCTAACCCTTGCAGCTTGAAAAACACTCTGGGAGCATGAGAATGCATGCTGAAAATCCCAAAAGGAGAGAGAAACAAGAGTAGGAGTTGCGACAGGCTCATCTCCCATGGGGGTGGGGGGTGCTTCCTCGCTTCCCCTCTCTGTCTCTGTCTCTCTAGTGAGCGCATGGGCCTGCTGTCAAAATTTAAAAGAGAAGAAAGTGTTCGCACGGTTGGTTTGTTCCTTCTGAGAGCTATGAGGAAGAATCTGTTCCACACTGCTCCCCTAGCTTCTGGTGGTTCACTGGCAATCTTTGGTGTTCTTGGCTTTCAGAAGCCTCACCCTGTTCTCTGCCTTCACCTTCCTGCGGTGATTTTCCTGTGTGCGGTGTTTGTGATGAAATTTCCTCTTTAATTTTTTTTGGAGAGGGTTTTTGCTGTAGGGCGCGTGCGCTCACCAGAAAGAGAGAGACAGAGAGACAGAAAGCGAGAAATTACCTCCCAAGGGGGATGGCCACGCCGCAATCCCTTCTCCTCCATTCTCCTCTCGGGATCTTGGGCACGCATGCACACGCGCCTGGCATGAGTTTAAGCCACCAGGTCCAGGACTTGACCCGTGATTGGCTACATGAGAGTTCAGTGACATAGCCATTATGCTAACTGCTGGTCCCTAATTTTCAAATATTTTCAAATGTCCTATTCTTAGGAACTGAGAGTTAGAATTTCAACAGATGAATTTTGTGGGGGCATGAATTTTTGAGAATGCCAGAGGACATGTGTGCTCACCAGAGGCAGACAGAAGCAGAGAGAGAGGGAAAGAAAGCACCTTCCAATGGGGTATAATCATGCCACGATCCTTTCTCCTCCCTTCCTCCATCCTGTTGATACTTGAAGCATGCATGCACAGGTACCTGGCACGACTTTCACCCTGTCTGGGCCAGGGTCTGGATCATAGTCAGTCATGTGGGAGCTGGCTCCCTTAACCACCAGGCTATGGGGCTAGCCCTGTGGGGAAATGATTTATCCCAAAACACATATGACTACATGTATCTTTTTTTTTCTCTTTTTAGAGAGAGATTTTTGCTATAGGGCATGTGAGTTCGCTGGAGAGACGAAGGGACAGAGAGACAGAAAGTGAGAAATCACCCCCCAGGAGGAAATGGTCATGCCACAATCTCTTTACCTCCATTCTCCTCTCGGGATTTGGGGTACTCACACACACGCACCCATTGTGGGTTTTAAGCCATTGTGTCCGGGACTCAAACTGCGGTCGACTACATACAAGTCTAGTAACAGAACCATCACAACATCTGTGTAAATGACTACATGCATCTTAACGGGTAACTACGAGGCATTATGTAAGTGAAAGACCTAGACTCTCTGGACCTCACATCCCTCAGCCTTTCCTTAGGAAAGCTGACTGTGATTGATCTTCTTCCCAAGATGGTGAGTATTCAGGAGTCCAAGGACTGATCCGTCCTTAGGGGCAGGTCTAACTTTACTTCTGCCCAGACAAGGCACTGGAAGCAGGAGCCTTCTGCTACCACTGCCAGTGGGGGAGAGTCCTTTGCTCACACAACTGCAACTCTCATTACCAGCTACATTTCATTACCAGCATTTCCCAGAGTGGTTCCCCGCATTGCTAGGATGGCAGGGCTCCTACTGCTCACTCTCCCAGTACCTGGATAATTGCTGTTGCAAGTTCTCACATCTGTCTCCATATTCTTCCTGACTTAGTGGTACCCTGCTCAAATAATGGCTTCAGCCTCCCCTTCCCAGTTCTGCCTCCTTCTCCCTAGACTGACAAGGGTCAGCTGATATTTTGGACCAGGCCTTCAGGGCACCTCCAGTTAATGGGTGCTTAACTGCACAGCCAACGGGACTTTCCTACAAGTCCTGTTAGATCTGAAACTCTCCAATAAGTATATTGGCAAAGCTATACATACTGTGCTCCTAACTCCTAGAATGGAGTTCACTGCCATCCAGCTCTTAGAACAGCACATTTGTATAGCCACTGAGCCAGCCAGGCAGCATTCCAGCCCTGACTGAATGAACACGATCGACATATTGCGATATATTTCATAACCTAGCAGACTGCATACCCATTGGGGTCATGGATACAGGGTGAGAGGGGACTTTATAGGGGAAGAAAATTAGGTGCCTTCCTGGATGGATGATACAAGGAATGAAAACCAACCCAATGGGAAGATCAGTGTGAAGGTTAATTCCATGTGTTGCTCTTTCGCATTTTGCGAAGAGGTGGGTGAAAAAGCTGAAAAGTCAAAGATCAAGGAAAAGAAACATGAAGCCGAGAAGAATGCTGATGCCAGGGTCAAGGTTAAAAAGGGTGACCTCAAGGCTAAAAATCCAAAGAAAGGGAAGACTCCCTGCAGCCAAAACCCCATCGTTGGGCCAGCAGGTGACATGGTAGTTAGGCACTGGATTCTCACAGGGCCAACCACGGTTCAAGCCCCAAGCTCGGCAGCTTGAAAATCATGGCAGGTGTGTATGCATGTGTGCCCAACATCCTGAAAGGAGAATGTGCTGCAGCACAGCCATCTCCCCATAAGGTGATTCCTTACTTTCCCTCTATCTGTCTCTCTCCAGCAAGGATACACATCCTACAACAACAAAAAAAACCCTAAAAAACAAATAGGCCATTCTAGTAAAAAGAATGAGCATATATTCCTGATCTGCTATGCCTTCCATAATGGCCATGTACAAGAGGAAGTCTTCAGTCACTAAATCTAGGGTTTAAAAGAAAAGAAGGCGCCTCTTGCTAATGTCACAATACCAGTTGATGGTGACAAGAATGGTGGTACCTGGATGGTTGAACTTTGCAAAATGCCTAGGTGTTACCCTACTGAAGATGTACCTCAAAAGCTGTTGAGCCATGGCAAAAATCCTTTAGTCAGCATGTGAGAAAGCTGAGAGCCACCATCACTCCAGAGTCCTTTCTATTAGCAATAATCGCGCCTCGGATAAACCTCATTGGCTACGATACTGCCACTGCGCAAAGCTTACTCCAGGGTCCTTTCTGACCATCCTTACTGGGTACCACCAAGGCAAGACAATGGTTTTCCTGAAAGGACTGAGCAGTGGCTTGCTAGTTCTGACTGGACCTCTGGTCCTCAATCATGTCCCTCTGTGCAGAACACACCAGCAATTTGTCATTGCCAGGTACACAAAAATTGATATTAGCAATGTAAAAAATCCCCAAACCACTCAGTTATACTTACTTCAAGAAGCAGCTGAAAAAGCCCAGACATCAGGAAGGTGAGATTGCAACAAGATAGGAAATTACAGACAGCATAAGGTAGATCAAAACACTGTGGGGACCAGCAGTTGGCACAACAGCTATGTCGCTGGACTCCCATGTTGTTCACCGGATTCCCATGAGTCCTGAACCCAGTGGCTTAAACTCACGCTGGGCACATGTCCATGTGTGCCTAAGATCCTGAGAGGAAAATAGAGGAGAAGGGATTGCGGCATGGCCGTCCCCTCTGGGGGTAATTTCTTGCTTTCTGTCTCTCTGTCTCTCTGGCAAGTGCATGCACTCTATAGCAAAAACCTCTCAAAAAAAAAAACCCCAAAAAACAACAACAACCCACACACACACACACACCACCACACACACACACACACACACACACACAAACCACTGTAGATGTGTAAGTTTTACCCACAATTGAAGTTGTTCTTCAGCTTCAGGGCTATCCATGATTCTTGCTTGCCCTTACAAATGGAGTTTATTCTCATAAACTGGTGTTCTACGTTTTTTACCAAGAATCTAACCAAATAGCTGATAAAGGGCTGACTCCATGGCCCGGTGGCCGGAGGAACAGGCTGGGCGTGTATGTGTGCATAAGCACCCACACCCCAAACCCCAGTTGGGTGCAGAAATGGAGAAGAGGTTGCAAGTGACAATTGCCCATGGAGGGTGATTGCTCCTCTTTCTCTCTGGTGAGCACACACACACACTCTCTGGCAAAACTTAAAAAAAAAAAAATCGGACACATTAAAACAATTTTTTTTCACAAGTCAACTTAGTTAGGCTATGATGCTCGAAACACTAGTCTAGGTGTTGCTGTGCAGGTATTCTGTTGACTTTAACAAAAAGAGATTATTGTCAATACTGCCTCATCAGTTGAAAGTATCAAAAACTGAGGCTTCTTGAAAAAGAAGGAATGCTGCCTTGAAAAAGAAGCAAGACTGACAAGAATGTCCTGTCTGAGTTTCCAGCAAGCCAGCCTGCCCTAAGCATTTTGGACTTGCCAGCCCTCACAACTAATTTCTTAAAATTAGCCAATTTCTTGGGGTCAACAGGTGATGTGGAGGTAAAGGCACTGGATCCCACATGGCCAGCTCAGCAGTTCGAGTTCTGAACCCAGTGGCTTGGAAATCACGCAGGGTGCATGTGCATGTGCACCCAAAATCCCAAGGAGACTGGAGTAGAAGGCATTACCATGTGGCCATCTCCCATAGGTAGGGGGGTGGGGGAGACCATGATTTCTCTGTGTGTGTGTCTTTCTCTGGCAAATGAACATACCCTATAGCAAAAAAAAAACAAAAACGAATTACTTAAACTCAATCTCTCCCTTTCTATAGCTGGATATATAGGTATAAACTATAAGCCATAAGACACACACACACACACACACACACACACACACACACATACATATATATCTCCAATTGATTCTGTTTTTCTAAAGAACCCCTGACTGATACATCTAGATTCACCCTTCTGGGTGTTTTTTTAGATTTTTGCCATAGGTGCAGGCACTTGCAGAGAGACAGAGACATAGAGGGAAAGTGAGAAATCACCCCCTTGGGGAATGACCAAGCCACAATCCCTTAGCCTTCATTTTCCTCCTGGGTTTTTGGGCATGCATGCACATACCCCCTGTGTGATTTTCAAGCTGCCAGGTCCAGGACTTGAACTGTGGTGAGCTATGTGGGGGTTCAGCACTTTAACAACTATGCCACCTGCAGGCTCCCTAGATTCACTTTTAATGGTGGTCAAAAGAACAGGGCAAGTTGTTTGAAAAAAGAATTAGCAATGAAATCATTGGGAAGGTAGAAACAGAATCTCTAGCAATTTGGGGCTCTGGGTGGTACAGATAGATACAGAGAAAGACAGTAGTATTTGACAAATCTGATTTTGTGTCTCGATTGGTGAAAATGAGTTGTACCAATAAGGCAAAGTCCTTCTAAGAAGGATGTCTAAGATGCTTCTTAAATCCACTAGCTCAGATCCAAAGATAGAATAAATTCTCAACCCACCTCTATAAATAAATGCTTAGAAAATTCCCCTGTTGACAGGCTATATGCATGAACTGAACATTCCTTCCATCTCTACACAGTTCTTGAAAAGATGCAATAAGTAGGTTATTCTAGCCTCAAAGGCAATGACATGAATTATGGATGACTCAATGGATAAAACTGAACAGATAAAAATGTAAATCTTCTGGCCCAAAAATAAGCTAATTAAATCAAAACTCAAAAGACAAGCACTAGATTAAGGGAACTATCTGTTACTAAGATAGAACAGAATTAATAGTCCTAATATCTAAAGAGAACATTGTATTAAGAAAAACCCCACTAAATAATGTGCAACAATTTCTCTCAGACAATGCTCAAAAAGGGTTATCTAAAGGGCTGATAAATATTTTTTAAAAAGAAGAAGAAGAAAAGAAAGAAAAAGTCCAGACTCACTAATTAAAAAAAAAAAAAAAGCAAACTGAAGCAACAGTGAAACTCCATTCTCCACCTATCAAAGTGGCAAGATGGCGATGTGGTAGTTAAGGGTGCTGGACTCCCACATGGCTGGCCACAGACCTGAGTCCCGGACCTGGCAGCTTGCTTTCTCATGTTCCCTCTCTTGCTCTGTCCCTCTCTGGTCAAATTAAAAATAAGTAAATAAATAAATAAAGTTTAAAAAAAAGAAATAAAAAATGTAGCAAGATGGGAAAAAAGGAAACGCCCTATGACATTGCTTATGGGAGTAAATTTATTAGAAGGCAATTTGACAATACCTAAGAACTTTTGACCTAGTCATTCCACTTCTGGGAAGCTATCTGAAGGAGAGCTGAGTTGTGATGTTTCCCAGAACATTAACTAAAATAGAGAGAAACTGAAATATCCTATTAAAGAACAATAGTTCATTCACTCAGTCATTCCAGTAGTATCGAGTGCCTGCAATGTGATTATTTCCTGATAACGCGTCTCTTAAAATGTGGGTAGAGGTTGTGTTAATAAGTAGACGTATGTGATCACACATAAGCCTATACATGCTTGCACATGCTCATGTCATCACTGCTAGGGTACACAGGGAATTGACAACAGACCTTTGATGAAGGAGATGAATAACAAGTAGGATATGAATCACTTTTCACTGTACTTGTTTGGACCATCTTGAATTTTTTTTTTTTTTTTTTGGTTTTCCTATAGGACATGTGCTCTTGCCAGAGAGCAAGTAAGAGAGAGAGAGGGAAAGTGAGAAGTGAGAAATCACCCCCTAGAGGATGGCCACACTACAATCCCTTCTCCTACACTCTTCTCTCGGGAGTTTGGGCACACATGCACACACACCTGGTGTATTTTCCAAGTCACTGGATCTGGGACTTGAACTGTGCAGTTGGCCAAGTGGGGTCCAATCACCTTAACCACCGTGACTTCTGGCTGGTCTCTGTCTTGAATATTTAGACAGGTAGTGTGTGAAGATTTTGAAGGCACCTCGAGCAGGTCTAATCTAGTTTTACAAAGAGATTTCCTGAGTTGTTTTCAAGTAATTTCATAGGTGTCTCATTTTCCTGAGCGTGGAAAGCTCTTCAAAGGAAGAGACTGTTGTGTATGTTTTTGTACTACTGTAGTTTTAAACACAATTTTGACACACAATACTTAAAATACTTACTGATACAAAAATACTTACTGTATTGAAAATAATGTCATTTGATACTCAAATAGCCTGAGAGTAAAAGTTAGTCAACAACTCTAAATATTGCCTCAATGCTCTCTGTCTTGAAATATATCACTTAACTTAAAAAAATATATATTTTATTGGGTCAGCAGGTGGCATAGTGGTTAAAGGTGCTGAATTCCCACATAGCCACCGGTGGTTTGAGTCCCAGATCTGGTTTGCTTTCTAGCATTCCCTTTCTCTCTTTCACTGTCTCTGGTCAAATTAAAAAATAATAATAACAAATGAAAATAAATAAATAATTATCTTTAGAGTTATTTTATTTAACTTTCTTTATTTCTTTCTTTCCCTCTCTTTTTTTCCTTCCTTCCTTCCTTCCTTCCTTCCTTCCTTTCTAATTTGACCAGAGAGGAACAGAGCAAGAGAGAGGGAAAGTAAGAAAGCAAACCACTAAGTCCAGGACTTGAACCATGGTCAGCCATCTGGGAGTCCAGCATTCTTAACCACCACACCACCTGCTGGTTCTTCACTTACTTTTCATACCATGGTTTGCTGACCTGTCAATGGGGAAAACTGATGAAATCCTTTGATGAAATTTTATACAGAGAAATGCAAAATGCCAAAATGCCTATGTATCCATCCATAATCTTTTTTTTTTTTTTTTAAGGTTTTTCCCATAGGGTATGTGCACTTGCTGGAGAGAGACAGAGAGAAGGAAAGAGAGAAGTCTCCCCACCCCCAGGATGGATGGCCTTCTCTTCCATTCTCTTCTCCTCTATCCTCCTCTTGAGATTTTGGAAATGCATGCACACACATCTGGGACGATTTTCAAGCCATCAGGTCCAGGACTTGAACAGCAGTTGGCTATGTAAGAATCTAGCACCTTAACCACCACACTCCATGGTGCCTCCCCCCACCCCGTTTTTAATGATTACAAAACCCAAAAATGGTTGATACAGAGTCTGTTTTGTGCACTTATAAGTGATCACATTTTTTCAAATACATTTGTGAGGCTTTTAGAATCTACAGAAATTCATTTATCATTCAACATAGTTTTTATCTCCATTCTCCTCCACGTGAAGAATAGGAAATAAGGTTG